CCTTATACATGTACATAGATATTTTTAAAATGACATAATGTCATTTTTGTATTGATAACACTTAATGAATATGTTTTCATTTTTTTTTTATTTATGTTGAGGAGGTTTTTTTCTAAAATCTAAAACAACAGTTTTCTAAGTCTCCGTTCTGAAACTCTTCATATTATTGCTGTTTTGACTTTATTGGATACGGTCAATGAGAAATGTTATATTTTTGGAAATGAAACGCCGTAGTTGATTCATTTTATTAGTTATCTAGAAGTCAAACGGTTCTTGACAGTTATTTTTCACATCATTTCAGACTTTTCCAATATCAATAAAATAGATAATGATTCATTGAGAGAAACTGTGATTATTTTATTACAATTCCGTAGATGAACATGATTGAGTTATCTCCCTTTATTGTGTTGGAATTCAAAACCATTAGGTAAGACTTGTAATTGCTAGGAGTAAAATTAGTAGAGGCCTCTACATACAAACAAGTGCGTATTTGAGAAGTACATTGATTGCACGATAGTAATTATTGATATGTCTGACTTATTCCATATAACAGATTTTAGATATTACAATCTTTCATTAAGATGTAATTTTCAAATTTAGTTTCAGATTATGGAGTCACCAAGAAATTTAAAATATATATTTACTAAAATAAAAATACATAGTGATTTTATAATTAATTTAATGATATACTCAATTTTATAGACATGGAGGATATATTAGAGTTACACCCAATTAAAGATGAAATCACTGGATTTGAGGAAGAGGAGATGTGCGACGAGTGGCCGGAGGACGGCATGATGTGTCCTGTTATCGGATGCCCTTCGTGGACCCACTTCTTCAGAAGACTTGTGAGTTACTGGAGCCACTTCCACCGTTTTCATAGGCGGTATGTCACCATCTACCACTGTCCTATGTACCACCTGAAGGACATTAAAATGTACGAGGTCCGGAGGCACATGAGGAAAAAGCATAACTCTACCTCCGAAAACATACGGAGAGAGACCGTGATAAACAACAAGTCCGTCAGTCCTGGAGATTTCCGAAGACCTCGTCCCAGAGTCCGACATGAGGAACGGGAGAGGGCAAGGGAAGAGAGGCGGAGGACCACATCTGTACCTTTGTTCTCCCTCACAGAGGATCATAATCCTAGGGATGATAAGTGCCCCGTGGAAGGATTTAAGAAATAACATTCTTCATTATTAATTAGTATTATTTAACAAAAATTTTAATTTTTGTTTTAAGGGAGGAAGAGTGTTACGGTTTTGATTTTCATTGAACATTTAATTTGTCTTTCTTAGAATATTTAGTGCCTAACATTACCTTTAAATATTTTCCGATAGTCATCGCTGATGTTTAATTTTGTAACTCTATTTGTTTTCACATGTGCTCAAGTTAAATTTACTTCCATATTGGCTGTCATTCCGAACTTATTTTGTTTCCTGACTTTTCATTGGTTGACAATTTGTACTTTGAACATATCAGAAGTCATTTTAGATATTCACATTACAATTTTATAGCTAGTTAGTTAGAATGATTTTCATTGGTCAGAGTTTATATATAAACCTTGACAGTGGCATTTTCAAGTCACTCTAGGCTAAAGAACCCAAAGGTTCAAGATTTCTCTTCTTCTCTCTTAGGGTTTTATCCCGGACTGCTCTTGCAGTTCATTTTTTTTTTGTTTAGGACATTGTCTGAATTCTGTAAAATGTAACTAAGTCCTTAGTTAGAGTCTCATTGGTCTAAAGATGAATTGGATATCTCTAGGCCTTTATAGTGTTACATGTATTTATAATAAATAAATTGCCTTGTCCCTCGTGTAATAAATAGGGCTTTAGGAAATTTTCAATCTACTTGCATAGTGTCTCACTATAATTTTTAGGATGTTGTATGGAATCTCTTATGGCGTATGGAAGCTCACTCCCACCTATTTTGATATATTTGTCTGAAGCTATCACACTCATTTTTCTCCATTATATTTTTGTTATCAAAATATTTACTTTGTTATTATTTATTCATTTATTTTTTCTACCTCTTTTTTTGTTTACATTTTGAGATTATTTTGGAAACTTATTTATTATTTGTTGTCATCTACAAATCATTCAGAATTATCACCATAATAAATTAAATGTTAAAATTCAAACTTTCTTCTTATTTCAAGGTGTCGATCATAATCTAGGAATCTCAGAACCTGGGTTGAATAAAACAGGACCAGTTATTGTACTTTTACATAATTAGTGGGCTTAGTCTATTCCTTAGTATTATTTCGTAAAGTTTATAGATAATTTTGCCATTCATATATATTTTGGGGCAGATTGAGTACACTTTGCGGCCATATACAAACTGGTTCCCGTTACATGAAAATCTTACTCTCCCATGAGTCTTTCAAGGCAGATGTTATTCGTATCACATGATTGGCATTCTTTTAATTCATTCCTACTGATGTTAAAATATTTCTCTCCAGTTAAAAATTCACTAAAGAGTTTACTAGCTTTGCTTTTTAAAACATTACACAGACGTTTTATAAAAACACAAGTAAGACTATCATTCAGTGAAGTTTTCAATAAAAATTCAAAAACCTCGTCATAAAAATATGAACCATAAAAAAGTGAAACTTCATTGTTCAAGCTAAAATTGGATTTTCAATAAACAAATCTAAAACATATAAAAGTCTCTGAAATACAGAGCCAATATCTAAAATGTTTCCAACTTTTGTTGCTTTTTAAAAAATAAGGTTCTGTGATAATTTTGCATAAAATGCCAAGCGATCTTACAGGTGCTTAGACACAGATTTGAAGTTAATATTTACTCAGATTTTCTGTATAATTTCATGACCTATATGTTGCTATAGCATTTCATACGAAAATTTGATAAAAAATCTTATTTTATCTGGAAGTTATTGAAACTTCGAATTTCTGGACGCGTTTGATGCACACATCCTTGCACTTTCACAAATTTTAATTTTATCCTTATTACTTTAGAAAAGTAGCAATTTTGTTGTTTATTAATGAAAAATATTAAAACTATAATGCAGAAATTTCAGAGTAGAAATGTAGAAAGCAAAATCCTCTCACCAGAATTGTCAGTCCGTGCTCAGTGGTGTGCGCAGAGTTTAACAATTGAACATACCCGGCGAAACGTAAACATTAACAGGTATTAGCTTTCTTAAAAAGCTTGTCTGACGTGAGCAAAATTTATCATTATACGAAGAATGAAAAAAAGTTTAATCCAGTGTATTCAACATTATATTCTGAGTCCAGAAATGAATTATTTTGCTAAGAACAAAAACGTTCAACATGAACTAAAATTCAGTTATGAATTTATTCTATATATACTGACAGGTATTACATGTACTTGTAATTTTATTTTTTTCATGGCCGTAGGAACTCGGGACCCTCCCCCCGTAATTTGCTGATATATACATGCAATTATATGCTATAAAACACTTATGCTACTTTATGCTTGTTTCCCATAACTCAAGTAAATAATAACGTATAAACTTCATCATAATTTTTTTGCTTAATAAGATTAATGATAAGGAATTTTTCCTTGATAGTGCCCCCCCCCCCTCCCCGCCTCCATTGATATTTTTGGTTGTGGATTCCCTCCCCGTGAAACTTCTTCCGACTGACCTTTTACTAGATACATAAATATAATCGGTGCTTTGAAAGAAAAAGATATAACACATATTAAAAATCTATACATCAGTTGGTGAACATTTGGGAGAGTTATTTATTTATTTTAATCATAAACTTGTTTTAAGTGAGCAAACGTCAGCAAAGTTACGTATATATGTAATACTGAAGTTAGAAAGACTGTATGCATTGAATATAAACATCTATTAGTTAATCTGACAAGTATTAGCTTTCCTAAAAAGCTTGTCTGACTTGAGCAAATTTATTTTTACGCGAAGAATCAAGAAAAGTTAAATCCAGTGTAATCAACGTGACTCTGAGTAATGCTTTTGCTAAGAAACAATAAAAGTTTAAATCAGTGGCATCAGCATAAATTTAAACTTGGACATGAATTTATTCCATATACACTATATTTATACTGTATTATGTAATTTCCTTTTTTATGGACGTAGGGTCCGGCCGGGGGAGGGGGAGTGGGAGTGCCCCCCCCCATTTATGCCGATTTATACATAGCTATATTTTATGATTGGGTCTCCTAAATCATGTAATTTATATTTAACTTCTGATAACTTGATAGTGTCCATCTTAAACTGAAAATTTCTGAAATTTCTTCCAATGGGCCTGTTCATGGATAAAAAGATATACCCAGTGCTTTTGAAAGAAACACTACAACACATAAAAATCTAAACATCAACTTGTGAACAATTTTGATAATTAAGAAATGTTTTATTTAAAAAAAATAAACGTGTTACAAATGAGCTAACATCTTTGCATTTAGCAAAAGAATATTCAGCATATATCAATCACTTTGATATTTTTTTACTATGAATAAATGAAACGTCTGCAAGTTATGAATATGTGTAGATTTATAAAAATTCTAAAGATAGAGAGACTCAGTATGCATTCAAATTAAACATCCATTAGTTAATCTGATAAGATAATCTACAAGTGTTGACCTGACCAGCTTCATTCATTTCTGTTTTGCTGGACATGAATGATGTATTCGAGAATGGCCAAATGTTATGCAACCTGTAATGTATAATGTGATAATAATGACAGATCAGCTACAATACTCTGGCTTGTTTGGGTGTTTACTCTTCATGCTCTCCAGATGATAGTTAAGATAGTATGAAGTTTCCAAGATCAAGTTATCACAAGAATTCTATTGAACGACTTGACCGACAAGCCTTGGCTAAATCTAGTATAGGGAAAAGAGTACCAATTATTTTCCCATAGAACTCTATACAAACCTTTTGCTCTCTCAGTACTCTACTAATTCGATTTCAGACAAATCCTTGGCACCATTTGAAACTTTATTCTGAGCGCTTATAAAAAAGCCCGAAAAAAATATAGGGTCCCATGGCGTTTATAGGTCAAAATTGCTGTTGTTTACAACTTATAGCGATCGGCAGTAAATGACACTATGCCAAAAATATCAACCCCCACTCCTACAATCTCCCCTGGTACTTCTATATTTTCTGTAATATTCCTACATTCCATCATTTATTTCAAACATTAATATTTTTACTTTAAAATGAAAATAATTATATACCTGAATTCAGCCAATCGGGTAACACACACTATTCAGTACTCTATACTACTTTGTGTAACAAACAAAACCACGTGTACATCCGGGGATTTGGTACTCTCATTCCTATACTTACATATTGACCTATCCCAGAAGTAGTCAATTTTGTTATTTTCAAAGACCTTATACCTACCAATGTTCATGTGTGAAATTTGAGGCCTGTCACTTCAGTGTCTTGGAAACTGTGACCATCTTAATTAATGACACCTCCCTGCTGCAAGTAGTGTTCCAGGGAATGAGTAAATTTCATTCCTGTGATCAGACCTGGATATAGTTGTGACTGTGATGAATAAAATATTTATACAATTGCATGGTTTTGTTTTTTGATGTTAATAAAATGATATAAAGTCACATTTGTGTCAATTTTTTCATAAGGGTGGATTCTACCCAGAATTCGAAAAAAGCTCCAAAATTTGATAAATCATGGCTAATTAAGCAAAATTGAAAGTTTTTAAAAAGAGTGATTCAGAATTTTTTTGAAGCTTATGAGAAGTAAATAATTTAAGACTCTAATATACTAATTGATTCTTATCTACCCCCTCCTGTTAAATAAGTATGTGCAAAAAAGTTTCACCACCCCCCAGTGAAAGGCACTTAGAGAAATAGCAGGTGCCCCCTATTATACTTGTTTACAATTAATTTAGACAAGAGCAAGTTTATCCTTTTGATAACAAATTAAAGTTTAGTCTCTGTAGTCTTAATCAGTACTATTCATAAGCTACATTATTGAAATTTATGCCTAGAAAAGAGAAATTCAGGTCAATTTTAAAAAATCAAGAAATGCAATAAGTATTACTTCAAACCCCAAAATGTACCACACAATAATAGGCTGGAAAGTTAAAAGATGGAGAATTTACCTGCAAAGTACAGAAAACTGTCCAACAAAATACATCAGGTGGATAGCGAGTCTCCGTCTTCTTCTTATATAGAGAAAATGCTCATGCGGATCAAGTACCAACCTCTCCCGGGGCCGAGGAAGCTGAAAGATGAAAATCCTCTACAGTGCTTAAATGAAAATGAATCAGAAAAGTTAGTCAAATTAAGCATAAAGCATTAGTGAAACAGCAATATTTTTCAAGTTTTCTAAAAAATTAACAATTTACACAACTGCTCGACAGCTGAATATTTAAAAAATGGATCCAGCAAGGGTGGGGTACATGTTATACAATATTACATGTAATTACATGTAAATACATGAAAGGTCAAATGTGATACATGCAGTTTAAAGCCATTCCAAGCAATTCATGAAAAAAAATCAGAAGCCTAAGGTCTCAACAATTAAGATTTCATCATGTTGAAATTCTACATGTCTGGTTAGCAAGTCTAAGGGAAGTAACTCTAAGTACAAAAACTGGAAAGCAGCTGAAAATGAGTTACAGAGGGCCACCCTGATGAAACAACAGGCAGCAAGAAAGGGAAAATACAGAACTTTTTGTAGCTACAATGAAGAAACAACTTAACTACAAATTCCTCACCCTGCAGTCCAAGAGAAGCAATCCAGAAGATCACACGCACTACCAGACATGAGATGTCAAGACCGAAAAATGTGCTCCTTTCACATGACCACCAAAGAAAGGCCCTTTTAAGGGTCACCAAAATTACTCGAAAAGATACCGAAAGTGCAAACATTTAAGAAACTAATTAAAAATGAACACCAGGTCACAACCCCTACACTTCCATATATCTACACCTATAAGGCACAACATAAAAATACATGCAGGTACATGTATACATAATACATACATATATTTATACATACATACAAACATTCATCATAAGAGCAATCTGATGCACTTTCTTAACTTACTTTCTTCCTCTGGCTATGTAAACTGCACAATCCTGTACAATTTCTACTTTTTTCTCTACAGCCCTCCCCCCTCCCTTTTACAAAGGACACAATTCTTCTCAAACCCCCACCCAAAAAACTAATGAAGTTTTTTGCTATTTTTTCTCTCGGTATGTCTTCAATATTCAAATAAATAGCTCAAAATAACTTTTCATGACTCTCAATTCACTAAACATTGTAAAAGTTGGGGTCTCTATAGGGAAAAGAGTACCAATTATTTTCCCATAGAACTCTATACAAACCTTTTGCTCTCTCAGTACTCTACTAATTCGATTTCAGACAAATCCTTGGCACCATTTGAAACTTTATTCTGAGCGCTTATAAAAAAGCCCGAAAAAAATATAGGGTCCCATGGCGTTTATAGGTCAAAATTGCTGTTGTTTACAACTTATAGCGATCGGCAGTAAATGACACTATGCCAAAAATATCAACCCCCACTCCTACAATCTCCCCTGGTACTTCTATATTTTCTGTAATATTCCTACATTCCATCATTTATTTCAAACATTAATATTTTTACTTTAAAATGAAAATAATTATATACCTGAATTCAGCCAATCGGGTAACACACACTATTCAGTACTCTATACTACTTTGTGTAACAAACAAAACCACGTGTACATCCGGGGATTTGGTACTCTCATTCCTATACTTACATATTGACCTATCCCAGAAGTAGTCAATTTTGTTATTTTCAAAGACCTTATACCTACCAATGTTCATGTGTGAAATTTGAGGCCTGTCACTTCAGTGTCTTGGAAACTGTGACCATCTTAATTAATGACACCTCCCTGCTGCAAGTAGTGTTCCAGGGAATGAGTAAATTTCATTCCTGTGATCAGACCTGGATATAGTTGTGACTGTGATGAATAAAATATTTATACAATTGCATGGTTTTGTTTTTTGATGTTAATAAAATGATATAAAGTCACATTTGTGTCAATTTTTTCATAAGGGTGGATTCTACCCAGAATTCGAAAAAAGCTCCAAAATTTGATAAATCATGGCTAATTAAGCAAAATTGAAAGTTTTTAAAAAGAGTGATTCAGAATTTTTTTGAAGCTTATGAGAAGTAAATAATTTAAGACTCTAATATACTAATTGATTCTTATCTACCCCCTCCTGTTAAATAAGTATGTGCAAAAAAGTTTCACCACCCCCCAGTGAAAGGCACTTAGAGAAATAGCAGGTGCCCCCTATTATACTTGTTTACAATTAATTTAGACAAGAGCAAGTTTATCCTTTTGATAACAAATTAAAGTTTAGTCTCTGTAGTCTTAATCAGTACTATTCATAAGCTACATTATTGAAATTTATGCCTAGAAAAGAGAAATTCAGGTCAATTTTAAAAAATCAAGAAATGCAATAAGTATTACTTCAAACCCCAAAATGTACCACACAATAATAGGCTGGAAAGTTAAAAGATGGAGAATTTACCTGCAAAGTACAGAAAACTGTCCAACAAAATACATCAGGTGGATAGCGAGTCTCCGTCTTCTTCTTATATAGAGAAAATGCTCATGCGGATCAAGTACCAACCTCTCCCGGGGCCGAGGAAGCTGAAAGATGAAAATCCTCTACAGTGCTTAAATGAAAATGAATCAGAAAAGTTAGTCAAATTAAGCATAAAGCATTAGTGAAACAGCAATATTTTTCAAGTTTTCTAAAAAATTAACAATTTACACAACTGCTCGACAGCTGAATATTTAAAAAATGGATCCAGCAAGGGTGGGGTACATGTTATACAATATTACATGTAATTACATGTAAATACATGAAAGGTCAAATGTGATACATGCAGTTTAAAGCCATTCCAAGCAATTCATGAAAAAAAATCAGAAGCCTAAGGTCTCAACAATTAAGATTTCATCATGTTGAAATTCTACATGTCTGGTTAGCAAGTCTAAGGGAAGTAACTCTAAGTACAAAAACTGGAAAGCAGCTGAAAATGAGTTACAGAGGGCCACCCTGATGAAACAACAGGCAGCAAGAAAGGGAAAATACAGAACTTTTTGTAGCTACAATGAAGAAACAACTTAACTACAAATTCCTCACCCTGCAGTCCAAGAGAAGCAATCCAGAAGATCACACGCACTACCAGACATGAGATGTCAAGACCGAAAAATGTGCTCCTTTCACATGACCACCAAAGAAAGGCCCTTTTAAGGGTCACCAAAATTACTCGAAAAGATACCGAAAGTGCAAACATTTAAGAAACTAATTAAAAATGAACACCAGGTCACAACCCCTACACTTCCATATATCTACACCTATAAGGCACAACATAAAAATACATGCAGGTACATGTATACATAATACATACATATATTTATACATACATACAAACATTCATCATAAGAGCAATCTGATGCACTTTCTTAACTTACTTTCTTCCTCTGGCTATGTAAACTGCACAATCCTGTACAATTTCTACTTTTTTCTCTACAGCCCTCCCCCCTCCCTTTTACAAAGGACACAATTCTTCTCAAACCCCCACCCAAAAAACTAATGAAGTTTTTTGCTATTTTTTCTCTCGGTATGTCTTCAATATTCAAATAAATAGCTCAAAATAACTTTTCATGACTCTCAATTCACTAAACATTGTAAAAGTTGGGGTCTCTATAGGGAAAAGAGTACCAATTATTTTCCCATAGAACTCTATACAAACCTTTTGCTCTCTCAGTACTCTACTAATTCGATTTCAGACAAATCCTTGGCACCATTTGAAACTTTATTCTGAGCGCTTATAAAATAGCCCGAAAAAAATATAGGGTCCCATGGCGTTTATAGGTCAAAATTGCTGTTGTTTACAACTTATAGCGATCGGCAGTAAATGACACTATGCCAAAAATATCAACCCCCACTCCTACAATCTCCCCTGGTACTTCTATATTTTCTGTAATATTCCTACATTCCATCATTTATTTCAAACATTAATATTTTTACTTTAAAATGAAAATAATTATATACCTGAATTCAGCCAATCGGGTAACACACACTATTCAGTACTCTATACTACTTTGTGTAACAAACAAAACCACGTGTACATCCGGGGATTTGGTACTCTCATTCCAGTACTGTCTGACGCCATGGCGTCAGACAATAAGGATATTCGGCATACGTGTCGACTAGCTTCATTCCTGCTATTTTGCTGGACGTACATAATGATTGTAATGTATAAGAGAGTGGGCAGATGTTATGTTGCGTGTAATGTATAATGTGATAATAATTAGGTCCAATGCTTTGGCTTGTTTGGATGTTTAGCCATTAATCCCCATGCTCTCCAATTGATAGTTAAGATAGAATGAAGTTTCCAAGATCGAGTTATCACAATAAATCTATTGAACGACTTGACCAACAAGCCTTGGCTAAATCTAGTACTGTCTGACGCCATGACGTCAGACAACAGCAACAGAGCTCGTGCCCTGTTTACAAAAACAGTTTATGTTTCACGCGTGTATTCAATTTGTTAAACTCTGTACACAGCTACACAACACTGAGCACGGGCTGACAATACTTAAGTGAGTGGGTTTTGCTTTCGCACATTTTTACTCTGAATTTTCTGGATTATAGATGTAATACAAGTATTAGTTTTCCTAAAAAGCTTGTCTGACTTCAGCATTATTTTTACGCGAAGAATCAAGCAAAGATAAATCTGGTGTAATCAACGTGACTCTGAGTAATGAAACGAATTCTTTTGCTAAGAAATAATTAAAGTTTAAATCAGTGGCATCAGCATAAATTTTAACTTGGACATGAATTTATTCTATAAACACTATATTTATACTTGTAATTTCCTTTTTTATGGACGTAGGGACCGGCCGGGGGAGGGGGAGTGCCCCCCCCCCCCTCAATTTATGCCGATTTATACATAGCTATATTTTATGACTGGGTCTCCTAAATCATGTAATTTATATTTAACTTCTTATAACTTTATGTTTTATGAGGAATTTTTCCTTGATAGTGTCAGTCTCTAACTGAAAATTTCTAAAATTTCTTCCAACGGGCCTGTTCATGTATGCAAAGATATAGCCAGTACTTTTGAAAGAAAAACTACAACACATATAAATCTAAACATCAATTGGTGAACAATTTTGTTAACATCTTTGCATTTAGCAAAAGAATATTCAACATATATCAATCACTTTGATATTTTTTTTACTATGAATAAATGAAACGTCTGCAAATTATGAATATGTGTAGATTTATAAAAATTCTAAAGATAGAGAGACTCAGTATGCATTGAAAATAAACATCCATTAGTTAATCTGATAAAGATGATCGACAAGTGTTGAGCTGACCAGCTTCATTCATTTCTGTTTTGCTGGACATGAATGATGCATTCGAGAATGGCCAAATGTTATGCAACCTGTAATGCATAATGTGATAATAATGACAGATCAGCTCCAATACTGTGGCTTGTTTGGGTGTTTAGCATGTTTCATTTACTCCTCATGCTCTCCAGTTGATAGTTAAGATAGTATGAAGTTTCCAAGATCAAGTTATCACAAGAATTCTATTGAACGACTTGACCGACAAGCCTTGGCTAAATCTAGTACTGTCTGACGCCATGACGTCAAACAATTATTCATTAATACACAATAAAATTGCTACTTTTCTTAAGTATTAAGGATAAAGTTATAAATTGTGGAAGTGCAAGTTTGTGTTAATCAAACGCCTCCCGAAATTCGTAGTTTCAATAATTTCCAGATTAAATAAGTTTTTAATTATATTTTCGTGTGAAATGCTAGAGCAACATATAAGTTGTGATATTATACAGAAAGTTTGAGAAAATATAAACTTCATATCTGTGTCTATGCACCTTTAAAAAGAGTTCTGCAAACATAATAAAATAAAACGCTGATTAAAAGTGTAAGAAGTTTTCAAAGAATAAAAATACTGTAATACAAGTTTGTGCATAAAAAAAGTACCTGCAGCATTATAAAACATAACATTGAAACGATTCCCTCTAAAATTTACAATGGGAATGTCTGGAACTCTATGATTTTTCATATAAACTTATAAAACATTGGGATCACCTGTCCCATCTTTGTAAAATAATTTTGAAACAGATTTTAAAAGACACAAAGTAAAAGGCTCTATATACAGGGCATTCCCAGGGAATCTTAAAGACAACTCGTTCAATATTAAAAATTTCTTCTATACATACATCCGAAAATTGCAGGAGGGGGTGAATAGAACATTTAAAAGAATGAACATTATGATGTATATCTTTACTTAAAATATCATTTACTTTTTGTTCGGCAGCACCTCTGTCAGTCATAAAACAAGAGACATTGTTAAAAATAGTATCACTGTCACCCTCTTTCTGTGATATATCTATTAAAATATCTTTTGTAATATCTACATATGTCTCCCCCTTTCCATCAAAGACCTCTCTCAAACCTGCAGACAAAACTTTGTCACCAGTATTAAACTGAAGTCCATAATACTGCTTCCCTTTCTTCGTTGTTGCATCTCTATGTATTGTGATATTTGCACTGTTCTTAAGTTCTTCATTTAAATGATTTCTACAAACTACGCCCATTTCACTGGTTAAAATACCTGCCGTGCTCTTTGATGGTAGAATTTCTACATGAATATTAAAAACAGATTGAATAATTGGCGCAATATGTACTAAACCAATGTTTCTACTTTTAAAATTATAATATGATTCTCAATTTAAAATTGTAAGGTTTCCCTTTACCGTTGTCTCTAAAATCAAATTTTTTTTATATGTACAACATCATCATCATCTTTACAATTATTTTCTTTTTCTGACATTAAAAATTCACTTTCTTTTTTCAAGTCAGCAATAACTGTTTTTATAGTATTGCACTGTACACTTTGAACATTTTTTCAACATTTTCTTTTGTCTTCATTCTTTTAATAACATTTTTTTTTTAAGATTTTTTCTTGTTTTTTTCTGTTTGTATTTCTAACATTAAAAGCTCTTACTTTGTCTTTAAGAGCTGTATTCTCTCTCCGTAGGTGTTCAATCACAATATTCTGCTCCGATATAATTTTGAGTTTCTCCTTTCAAACGCTCATCTTCCTTCATTTCTCTCAGTTCCTTTGATGAATCCTCTTTTCGAATTTCCTTGTTCTCCACTTCCTCTCCATCTTCATTACTTATCAATAAGTTTTTGGTTTGTGGTAATTCAAAGATATTGCTTAAGTATGCATTTATTTTGTCTTTGTTGCTGTATTTCTTGAGTTTATCTATTTCCTTTCTTATACTGTTGACTTTGTATAAGAGACTTACTCTGTTCACTTTTGTATATTCAACTTTCAATTTGTTACACACTTCATGGTGTAAGCATTCATAAAGTTTGGACGTTTTTATTGCTATGTATATTTCATTAACACCTACGTACGCGAGAACCATGATTACGTGCAAAAAAGTGAGTGTTAGCTGAATTTTTACCATGAATGCTGTAAAAATGAAATAAAAAAATGAAGATACGCACAAAACAAAAACAATAAACTAGATATACAAGTTTTTTTTTAGGAAAATTTACTAGAAATAAAAGACAAAGACAGTGAGCCAAAGATAATAAAGTCAAAAAAATGAAATAAAAATATCACACATACATAAAAGCAGTTTACGTTTTTAAGAGAGAGAGAGAGAGAGAGAGAGAGAGAGAGAGAGAGAGAGAGATTTACCTTTTATGGAAAAATTCAGTCACTGTGTCACTCGTAATTTCTCAAGTCCTAAAATAAGAGCAAAAAATTTTTAATTTAACTCATAGGATATCGTTTTCCTATCCACGGTTGTGACTCACAATGGTTTTTGCATGAATTTGATAAAGTCAAATATTAAGGATTTACATATATAATACAGTGTATATGTGTAAAACATGTGATAAAAACAAACTCCCATGTTTTTGGTTGGATATGATTTTTTTTTATCAAACTCATTGTGTGTTTTATCCCCGAGCCTTAAAAACTCATATCCAACCACAAATCATGGGAGATCCTGTCCAATTGCCTTTTTTACGTCTTAATATATGTAATAATATATGTTTTCTGAAGTCTAAAAAGAAATGGACTATATCAAGGGCAGATAATTTGATTCCAAGAAACTGTCTGTGATGACCAATCTACCAACTTTCAAAAAAATCGTGCAAAAATGTGCAATGCTAAAGAAAACATTTTACATTTCAATAAAGATCAATAGCCTTTAAAAAAATCATTAAAAATGTCTTAATTCATGCTATTTCCTATGGAAGCCAAGGAATCATAGAAAATACAAATGCAACGACCTTTGTTGTGCATATATATTTGTTGTTCTCAATTGATGTAAAAACAATTAACAGGTTTTAAGAGCTTTTTGGCTAACCACAAACTATACCCAAACACAAAACACCTTACGCACCACTGTCATCAACATCAAAGTCCATCAAGTAATACTTATGCAGATATGGCTACCAGATGCCTTCCGGTTGTTCCTATTTTAAGATTAAAATGGCGTTAACTGGAATAGCTATCGAGTGTCACAATGGTAATCACATATTTTTTTAGTTCCGGGTGAAATAAGTTGAGTCCGATTTATTTTCTTCGACAAGAATGATCACAGTGATTGCTAGCTGTAATTAATAGTAAAACTGGTACTCAATACAAAATTATACTACACATATCTCAATTGAATTCCCATAATTATTTGCAGCTCTCTATTAAAACTTAATTAAGCTCTCAGATTTTACCCTATTAATTATTGGTTAAGCCAGGCACCGTTAGTATATAGGTCCCTGGTTATGCTTCTTTTCTTACCCTGTCAGTTTTGTTCTTCATGGAGGCTCTTTCAACAGGTCTGTCTTGGAATGCTTTATTGATGATATGTTGATCTTGCAAAAAATATGTTTAAACAATTATTTCAAATATTTTTTTCCAGAATATTTGCTGATTAGAAATCAAAATTAAGTATTCATGCA